TGAGCCTTTCTCTCTCTGGATTTTACCTTTTACCTACCTAGGCAATAATGTAATTTCTGACTGACATGCATCCATCCATACAACATCCATACATCCATACATCCATACATCCATACATCCATACAGACAGACAGACATACATGCAATTCATCCATCCATACATGATGTGTACGGATGGATATACCTATCGATCCTTCTTCGACCGTGGACTCCGCCCATGCCCTCCATTCAGCTACCTAGACCAGGTACCAATCAACAGGCTACATCCCTGTCGATTTCCCACCCCGCTGCTTCCACTTCTCTGGGACCCCATGAAGGGGGTGGGCGGGATTGACTTGTATATCTAGTTCCCGATCGCCGTCTCTCCAGCTGTTCTCGGCTGTTCTCAGCTGTCAAAACAGGTGAAAACAGGGACTGAGAAAGAGAGAAAGAGACTGTGTGAGAGAGTGCAAGTCTTTCCAATAAGCTTGGCCGAAACAAATCTCAAGGTCAAAAGCAAAGGGAAAAGAAAAATTAATTCTCTAGGTAAGGTTCCGAAGAGATATCAATCTTGACCCAACCTTTTTTTGGCTCGCTGCACATTCGCCTATTCTTTTTGGCAAACGCCTGAAGATAATCTTTCTGGAGTATGAAGCAACATCTCTTAGTGACCAACTCATACTCACTGATTAGCGAGTCTCACGGCCGGCACTGATGCCATTGGGGTGACTCCACTGGCTGACAGTTACCCACGACTCTTGAACATTCGACCACTTTCCTCGTTTCCTTGTCTCGTGCGAGACCCCAGCTAGACAAGCCGAGTCGAGGACCTACCGAAGAACATATCCCGTTGGGGTGTTTCTCAAGGTCTCTTCTCTAGCCCGATGTCTGCACCTTGAATTCAGCCTGTGCAATCATTCTGGATTTCCATCCACCGGCTTGCGGTCTCTGTTGCCCTCATTCGAGATAAGTCATTGGCCGTGAAACATAGCAAGGTAATCTTAACTATCACTGCCTATAGCGGAAGCGAAGGTTATTCCCCTCGCCTAGCTATAAGACGCCCCCCTCCCCCATTAATCCTAGGATCATCTTGCCTCTTCCTGTGCTCCATCTACGCGGTTTAGACTAGACCATAGCTAAGATTGCAGAAGGAGCCCAGCCGCCGGCGTCGGTCTCATTCCTGGGCTTTTATCTCCCGGAAGAAGCTTCAGAAGCAGACAAGTTTCAAATCGAGGCTCTGAGAGCCAGGAAAAGAGTCTCCAAACCTTGACATCGATTTGAAGCGCTTACCGATATGGAGGCAGCCGAACCGGTATCATACGAATTCCCAGGCCATGCTATCGGCGCCGTTGCACCCCGTCGGATGATGAACACCGGCCTGGGTCATACTCTACCATTTTACGCCAGCCCGACTGCTTCATTTCCTCTCTCTTTTCATCAGCATTCGTCGGCGAGCTATGGCTTCGGACATCCCATGAATCAGCACCATCATCATCCACATCAGCATCACCACCACCAGACTAGCTACCAGCATTACTTCGTAGCGGGTCAGCAACCATTGAGCTCCCAGCCGGTACGCCTCTCATCGGAACCGCCCTCTATCCAGCCGATTCCAGAGATTAGACCGGCCAAGAACGCGGTCAGTCGGATGACGAAAGATGCATCGGCCAGTATTGACCACAAGGCGGGCGTGCAACCGCCTATGGGAAAGCAACCGACGACTGGAGGACCAACACAGGGGAGAAGCCCATGCCCGAATGAAATCGAATTTTCAACCGAAGTAGACATCCTCATGAAAGCGATACAGTCAAAGGCCAGCACTCAGTCGGCAAACGTGCAGTCACTTCCGCCACTTCAGCAAATGACGCATGGAGCGAATCCAAGTACCTTCGCTCCTCAATACTCGATCTCAGCAGCCACGAACCCGCGTTGTACTGTGATTATTGAAGACCCGCCACTGCGTTCAGGAAAGAAGCGCAAGTATTCTTGCACCCTTCCACATTGCGGCAAGAGTTTTGCGCAGAAGACACATTTGGACATCCACATGAGGGCCCACACAGGAGACAAGCCCTTTGTGAGCAAAGCAATCTCCTATTAAACCAATGAAATAGGCACTGACAATTGATCTGTAAGGTATGCAAAGAGCCCTTGTGTGGCCAGCGCTTCTCTCAACTTGGAAACCTGAAGGTAAGCCGCGCCTATGCCTTGATGCTGCCTGCACATTTATGCAATTTCTAATTGGCTCTTTCTGTGACTTAGACCCACCAGCGACGCCATACAGGAGAGAAGCCATTTTCCTGCGAGATATGCCATAAAAGATTTGCTCAGCGTGGCAATGTTCGCGCACACAAGATCACCCACCAACATGCAAAGCCTTTCACTTGCCTTCTAGACGACTGTGGTAAACAATTTACACAATTGGGTAACCTAAAGGTGTGTTCTCCCATGATTCACCTTGCTGCTCTTAGAACTCATCTGAGCTGACTGAAGTGGTAGTCACATCAGAACAAATTCCACGCAGCAACCCTCAAAACTCTGACTCTGAAGTTCTCTCAGATGACGGATGCGGATAACATGAGCTCACACGACCAGAAGCTCTGGGAATACTTCGCTACCTTGTACAAGAATAGTAACAAGGGCATCAAAGGCCGCGGAAAGGATCGCAGGATTTCTCCGATTGCGAGATCCGAGGCCAGGCCCGACACCCGCAGAAGGATGCAGTCTCTTACTAGCAGTGACGAAAAGGGACGGCGCGCAAGCTATAGAGATACGTCGACATGCAACGAAGGTTCCAGTAGCGACGAAGAGGATCTTGGACCTTACTTCCTTGACAGGCAAGGACACTGACTGATTTCTGGATGGATTTCTTCTGTTTCTATGACTTTTCTTTGCTTCGGGGTTATGCTGATACCAGATTCAATTACTTTTCACGTTTTGCATCCAATTTCAACACACGAAAGGAACACTGCATTGAAGGAGTGAAGTAATACAGGGTGAGAACATGGCAGGATCCGATGTAATACATGTATAGCATCCGATTGTATAAGCAGATTCTGATCTCCAGATATATCTTCGACATGCTCTGCCTCTGTCATCCTGCTAGTGATTAGATGAACTGGCAGGGGACGTTGCCCCTTTAATCGGTTTTACGGACATTGCGATTGGGGTCAGGAAGAGGCACGATGAGCTGTCTTTTTGGATGGGATATGCGAGACTTAGCTGATGCAATCAATTACTCCTTAAGAATCAGCCGCGGCAAATATGCCCGAGTATTCTCATACACAAGGAAAGTGACCCATGTGTTGGGTAGTACTCGCAGCAGATTTGGCACCAAACCTTTGTAGAAGCCCTTGGTTCCCTCTCTGGCCCAAATTTTCATTACCGCATCGCGAACGCCCCTGTAAACGATATGCGCGTCATAGGTCTGCAACCGGGACCGCAGTACCTGGTATGGGTACGTTACGCACCCAGCAAAGAGCTTCGAGAGGCTAGACAGGATGAAGTAGTCCACGTTCCCAAGCTCCGGTGACACTGGCCGCCGCGAGCTTGGACCATTGGTACCACCTGGGACGTCGCCGGCCGCCATGCGAGCGCGGTACAGCTTCAGTTGCTCATAAGCCATGAACTGCAGCGCACCATGGCTGACTCCAAACATCGCCGGGACTAGGCCCCTATAAAAGCCAGATAAGCCCTCTGAGCGGATGATCTGTCTCGCGCCCACGACGAGGGAGGCATAGGCTCCCGGTACCCTAGAGCCGGTTGACAGCATGCGGGTTTTGATAACCCAGATGGGATTCGTCAGGATGGACGTCAGCATACCTAAAGACCGGATTCAGTTTTTGTTTTTTTTTTGTTTTTTTTTTTTTTTCTGCCAATTAGTGAAACCGCCAAAGTCTCCTACTGGCGCTCTGTCTGAGTCTAGAGAAGACTTACCGGCGGATCCCGAGGCTAGAAAATAGTCGGCCGAGCTCAAACCCTGTCCTGAAGTACCTCCACGCCAGGTTCGCATCAAGTCCTTGATATTGCCGTAGCACAAGAAGTATAGGGCCCAGCTAGTCGAGTTTCCAAGGAGGTTAGGCGTCAGGCCTCGATAGAATGCAGCCAGGCCGCCTTCATGCTGAAAGATACCTTGGACAAGTCGGAGTGATCCACGGCCGCGAGAGCTTAAAGACGGGTCAACTGTAATGTGATTCAGTAATCAGATCAAATGGAGAGATAGTCCTTCGAGTGAAGAGTTGCGGAGGGCACAATTCATCTCTTCGGTCCGAGGAAGCAGAGAGGCGCACCCTGAAGTCGAGTCTTGACCAGATCCAGCGGATGCAGGCAAAGCGTTGAAACAATTCCCGCCGTCAACCCTGCTACGGTCTCCACAAAGGATGACGATAGGCCATCGTTGCTAGTCATGAACTCTTCGATCCCACCAAAAAGGTTCCGGGCTGATGGTCTCTAGAAAATGAGTTGTATGAAGTCTTTCGTCGTTGGGTGCGGGGTGTGAATTGGATCGGTGTAAAGCGACTACGGAATCGTCCGGGCCTGGGCTTTGATTTTGCCCGATTTAAGCTTGGCGGGCCAAGGCCGCGGTATTCAGTCTGGTGCGATTCTCCGGCCATTATCATTATCTCTAACACGAATATGTAATGGTGAACTTTTCATCTACTCTTGGGAAGAAATGATTGCGATAACGCGTCGCTCTCATGTATGATACCCTGAAACGGAGGAGAAGAATGAAGACGTGAAAGAAGAAGTCAAATTAAGTCATTCGCAAGAACCAAACCAAAACCAAAAAAAAAAGAAATTACAAATCCCGACACAGTGTTAGAAATACCCCTCCGTCTTTATTGAACTCCTGCACATCTTGTTTCGTAGTTCCTTACCGGCGAGTAGGCGAGAGGCCGAGGCTCCGTGCAGAACGACCGGTTCAACCCAATCTCATACCCGCCACAGATTGAGAAAAAGGATCTCAGATGCACTATTTTTTGGAGGGAGGCCTCGTATGTGATGCGACTAAGCCTTCCACGACTCTATGCAAGCGGCGAGAACAGCCTATGTACCATGCTGTTAGCTGGGTGTACAGATCGGAGGGGAACCGGCATCAAGGTTCGTTCGTACTTGAAAAGTGAAGGTCTAGGCTCGCTATAAGTGTAGCCTGTCGAGGAAGAATTAGCATAAGGATTGTTTTCACTGCTCCCGACACGAGTTGAGCTCATTGCAGTAGAACCATACCGAGGTAGATGATCAGAGGAAGATATCCGCTAGTACAAAGACAACCGTCAGCTGCGGCCATCTTGGGGGGAAGGGGCCGAAGGAGTAGCTCACTAGTGGATAGCAACTCTGGAAACGTCAATGACTTTGGAGATACGCTCCTAGAAAACACAGACAAATGTAAGCCGGTTGTACAATGCGCAGGCTACTCACTAGGACACAGGCACTCACCTTGGTTTCTTCGGAGAATTGGACCATGTTGAGCGATAAGAACTTCCTAGATCGAAGGCGAGATTCCGAGTCAAGCAGAGGCCAAGGGCAGGGGTAGGGGATGGGTCGAGGTGAAAAGCCGGAAAGCAGAACAGAAGGCGTTGGCTACCGGTATGTTGTTTGGGTGGGAGTGATGACGGAGGACGGGGAGAAGGTGAAGCTCAAAGTTTTCCGGGGCTAACAAAAACGTACCGCTCCGCCGACGAACGCTTTCTGTCTCCAACGACGGATCGATCCCTCCTCCGCCGCAACTTACGCCTCTCCGCTTCCCCTTCGCTTCAGTGTCTGAGTCTTACACGCTATCTGTATTTGATATCAATTGTAGGCACGCAATTTGACTCACGGCTTTTGCTTCATCCCCTCATCTCACCTGCCTGTCAGTTGTAATCAGTAAAGGAGCTTCGACAGCTTCTTGCCACGCGCGATGTCCGGCGCAAGACATTGGTAGGTTCTGCACGCTTCTATTGCAGGCTAACGTTCTCAAACTCACTCGTTGACTATATAGGGAACAAGATAAAGAGGCTACCGTCTACATCGGGAACCTCGATGAACGTGTCACCGATAGCCTGGTATGGGAGCTAATGCTTCAAGCCGGGCGCATCGTCAACGTTCACCTGCCCAAAGATCGAGTCACGCAGTCACACCAGGGCTATGGATTTGTGGAATTCATCAGTGAAGAGGATGCCGAGTATGCATCGCGGATTATGAATGGTATTCGCCTATACGGGAAGCCCATACGCGTGAATAAGGCCTCCGCCGATAAGCAGAAGGCCGTGGAGATCGGTGCAGAGCTGTTCGTCGGCAACCTCGACCCAATGGTGACAGAGCAGGTTCTCTACGATACCTTCAGCCGTTTTGGGAACTTGATCACTCTACCAAAGGCATGTATCCCTTCTCTTGATGGATTCCCGTCGCTGAATATGACTCGCGGTCCTGGCAAGTTGTCTGACACTTTCTTTCATGTAGATCGCACGAGATGACAATAATTTATCGAAGGGCTATGGATTTGTGTCGTTCGCCGACTTCGAATCATCAGACGCCGCCATAGCCAGCATGAACGGCCAATATCTGATGAACAAACAGGTTTCAGTCCAGTATGCATACAAGAAGGACGGCAAGGGCGAACGGCACGGTGACCAGGCGGAGCGGATGCTAGCGGCACAGGCTCGTAAACACAATGTGCGTCCGGTGACTCAACCGCTCCCAGCGCAATTCTCTGGGCCTGGGGCTCCTATGATATCAGCGGGCGTGGCCAATGGTGACGACTCCCGACCTGTGAACACCGGCCCCCCAGATTTAGGTATTAGCAGGGGCGTGCCGCCTCCGAATCCTGGCTATCAGAATACGCCGACTCAGCCAAATCGACCAATTCATCCACCGACATCTCTAGCCACCCCGCCGCCGGGTCTACCAGCACGTCCGCCTCCTTCGCAAGCTGGTTACGGGGGCCCGCAAGCTTTCCTTCCCACGGGTTACAATGGCGCCGGTCAACAGCCACCTTACCCTGTTCAAGCAGCACCTCCACCAGGTTTTGCACAGCCGGGTTACGGCTCTGCTACGGGAACCCCTGGACCTCCGCCTCCTTTACCCCCAGGCTTTCAACAACCTGGTTATGGGCGGGGCCGTTGAGTCTTAGTATCACAATGGCCGTCTCGTCAAGGAAGTATTCGGACAACGACAGCTGGTTTAGTCAGGCAGCTCGCGCTCCAAGGGATTTAATCTGCCCACCCGGTTCTTGCCACAGTGCGCATCTTGATTCTACGTTATCAGATGACGCTCGTGTGCTGCCTTCGAAGCACCCTCTTGCATCGTCCTACCGATATCCGAACGCCGGTTGGCAATGGGCCTCCTGTAGAGAATCATTTTCTTCAGTCTGTGCAACGAATTACACAGGTGCATATTAGTACTAGAGCGGTGCAATAGACGTGTCAAGACGTGTCAATACATGGTGATGACAACAATATCGGCAGTGGTACCAAGCTTTGGTGCGGAGCGCGTTTAGCAAAACTGTACAACAGATAGCAAGACAGAGGAGCATTCGGCGATCTCTGAAAGTGACCTTATAGAGTCGATAATTCCCAATATACTTTTATGGTCTGACACATGCCCTGACCATGAGAGGGGCGACAACGACAACAGAGAATTCGATTTGTAACATAATACGCGGTTAGGAAAAGGAAACAAATTTGGGGTCTCTTGGCCGACCGTCCGGGCCAATATTGTTTTTCGCAAATCGTTGCTCCGTGTAAAGGCGACGGGCTTCATCAAAATTGACTTTCTGCCGGTGCATGATTCTCCGAATATCATGTTTTGCGCGACTGTCCAATCCAGCTCTACCATCTCCATCTGCGATGTTCGCAGAAAGATCAAATTGTGTGGATGTAAAGCCAGCTTCGGCGTCATTGGCAAAACTGGAAGGAAGGCGATGGTAGATGTATTCAGGCACGGGAATAAACGGTAGCCATCGTGCACGAGTAAGGTAGAGCGCTGCAAATATGTTAGACTCGATCCAGAACCAGAAAGCCATATTTTTTCGATGAGAACCCTCAAGCTTACCAGTGCCACCAATGATAACGGTGAAGGTCAGAAAGAACAAGATGTAATAAGCCATGGTCTGAAGTCTTGCTGGCAGGACCCCGGGAAGATCCGCGCCAGCTTTCAAATCGGAACAATTGCAGACTTGCGGATGTTGACAACTAGGAAACGAGGCTAGCCTCTTGGGTTTCAATTGTCGTTAGTTGAAAGAATCTGCTTCGTGATGCAGAGGCGACTCCCACGATACACTACATGGGCGGCGACATCAAGAGTAACATGGGCCTCAGTAAGAACGTAATCTGGCCGGGTGTGTGGAGAAAATGGGAAGGCTGTGGAAGATGCCAGATTGGACCGTGCACGTTAACCTCGGAACCTGGACCGCTGATGCCTGCAGACTACGGAGTAAGTCTAAGTGACAACGGAATTGACACGATCGTGCGTGGAATTTAACCTTCAGTGCCGTGGGCTTCTCACCTGGGTAACTCCGCGATACTACTCCGTACGCTAGCCACAACTGTGCTCGTATCGCTTCTCTGCTTCTTCCCTATCTTTCCTCGAGATTTTTTTTATATTCGCTGAAAGGTATTATCATTTCGATTATGGGCATTGATTGTAATCATTTTGACCGGCTCTGACAGGTCTGAATACTTATCACTTCTGTGCAAGTCGTTCAAACAGAAGTAAACCAGAAAATGAATGCAATCAACAATGCCGAATCGTTGAAAGAGAGCAAGAGCGTACTCGCGACAATGAATTGGGTAGCTCAAGTATACCTTGAGCAGACGATCTGTTATAGTACGGCGATATAAGTGGCTCGGTAGCAGCTTTAAATAGAGCTATTGGATAGGCAATACGTACTCCGTAGTTGACTGACAAAGTAGCTACTCCATTACCTAGCTCAAGGAGCCTAATGATGACAAACGAAGGAACAGATCACCGAGCGCAACCTCGTCCGCCCCATGTCACGAGCCCGCGAGAACCCTGTGACTCCCTCCGTGGATCCTGCCAAGATACACGGTGCAGACAAATCGACCGAAAATGATCTTCTATGCGGACGCATATGACAGGCTGACAGTTGCGAACTGCAGTTCTTTTCTCCAGACTCGGTGGCTCGAGAGCTGCTGTGAACCACGGAGACGACTAGTGATATGATGTAATAACTCATACAAGCAAAGGAGCCATGATAGAAACAAATGAGAGTGATTTCCCAGTAAGGAAAACGCTGATTCGAGCTTAAGGTCTGCATGCAGAATTTCAAAATATCTGAAGTTATTCGTGAGAACAATGTGGTAAAGTTGACCGCAGTGACCTGAATAAGACATTAGGTGAGTTTCAGAGTTAGGGATACGCGACAAAGTAACTGTTCGTTTCTTGGGAGGCCTTCTGTTTGTGAAATTAAGGACAATCCGCTGGTCCATGTTGTTTTCTTGTACGAGGCGGTGGTACTGTCCCCCGGGCTCAAACCGATTTAGATGCTCTGAGATCCAATCGTCGTCTCTCAGGAGTTTAATACCCCAATTCATATCCGAGATATAAAGATCCAGACTACCGCTCTGAGTCCCGTAGTCAATCGCAAGTTCCGGTGATACAAGTATACGACTGCGTAAGATCTCATCAATACAGCGGTAGAACTCCTTGCTATATTGGTCTTCAAGTGGTGACATATCTCGATTGAAGGCTCGTTTAGGTTCTGATAATTGGTGAGGATTGAATCTTTTCAAAACCTCTATGGCAAGATGTAGAGGAGATCGGTATGGTAGGAGCTGTTCAGGGATTGCTAACTGAACGAGCGAGCAATGGATAGAGCAATCCGTAAAGTGGTTACAGGTAGGTCACTTTGACTTTGTTTCTTGGTGGATGAAGGCGTCCCTGCTTGATAAATAATGTTTCGATCATGTGTTGTTCAAGCAACTTGAAACATTAATTTCAGAGCTTGAGTATTTCTTTTATTCCGGAATGAAAATCTCAGAATCAGTTGATTATCTCTTTCTTCTTTCTCAAGATCTATATTAAGACTACATTATAGGTAAGGCGGTGGCAGAACAGGGGTAAAAAAACAGCTGAGGTAATATCATGCACGTTATTCCTCCACGCATCAGATAGCTAAAGGGCAAGAAGGCACTATGCCTAAGTAGGAACACTATACCGCTTCAAGTAATTCGCCGTCACCGCAGCTAGACAGTTTTCTAATGCCTTGATTACGAGGCATAAAGGCATCAGTATATCTTTCACACAAGCTCCACACGCTAGCTAAGCTAGTCCGGAAGCGGCCTGCTTAGCGAGCCTTTTCCAGCGTTGCCACTCTTGGCATTGGCACACACACAGGGCTATTAGTATTAGCAGCAGGAGTCGTATATACCGAACGGACTTGCGACGACTTCGACCTGCCACACATACCCTCAAGCTTCACACGCTATCTTCACAATGGCCGCCGACAGAACCAACGTCTCCAGCGATCTCGTCTGGCAGATCACCCGTACGTCACCATCTCCTCGCACAGCACTGGGCAAGATATAGAGATTCTCAAGTGAAAGGCTTCGAGATTCGCTTCTCACCATCCACCGCACGGCCTGGCCATCCCCTCGAAGTCCGGCTAATCCGCGTATTTTGAATAGGCAACCAGAATGCTTTCCTGGTGAAGCGTAACAGCGGTGGTGGTTCTCAGTTCTCTCGTGACCCTTTGAACGTGCAGAACAAGCACTCTTTCAAGGTAAGAAGAATTCCCGGACGGAGGTCACCTTGGCTTGAGTGCTAACTTGGTTTTTAGTACGCCGGCTATGCCAACAACAAGGTAGCCCACACTATGCCCTCCGTTACCAGCGAATAAACCTCCTGATATGTTGCAACAGGCCATTGGTGTTCAGGCTACCGAGAATGGCGGTGTTGTCGTCCTCACCAAGAAGTCCAACTCCCAACAGCCCGCGAAGAACATCGTCACCGTGAGCTACGGCCCCAGCGCCTCCACCCGCAAGTAAGTCGGCGCCATCTACCGATATGTTTTCTGCCTAAAGCAGCATGTATGGCTGACTGGTGGCACTCTCTCTCTCTGTAGGATCTTCAAGGGTGTTGCCGACAAGACCGCTAAGAAGGGCTACCGTGCCGATCTCCGTGAGGCTGCTGTCGCCCGTGTGAGTGCCATCCGCCGCTCCCAGAAGCCCAAGAAGGAGTCTCCTCCCCAGAAGCTTCGTGGCGCCCAGGCCAAGAAGGTTGCAGAGAAGGACCAGGAGTAAGCAACAATAATAGCAAGAGGGATCCTGGTGTTGAAGCTTCCCGTAAATGGGCGCATCAATCATAGCAGGGCTGTGTCAACTAAACGGCGGAAGCATCTGGGTATTGTAGCATGATCTTCGCTACCATGAGAAACACCACCGGCCATGTGATATAAGATAATCCGCAAATCGGAAAAGGAAAAATGTCAAAAAGAAGTTCACATCAAGTCATGAGCGAATTCTGCTTTCTGCTCTGCGATTGCCTATTCACTTGTGGTGATAGCAAACCTAGTGCAGTTTGTTGGGTGGGGGGTCCATCTTTCGGTCCATCAGATCTAAGCAAGACCGGCGCGGGTACCGTTATCACCGGCCGGTAGGCCAACAATAGCCGTGCATTTGCCGTAGGAGACTCAAATCGCGGATGAGGCCATCCGCCTTTTTCCGATGACTATTCAGAGCGGAAGAAGAAGACTCCTCCATTAAGGGTCAAAATCAGGTACCGACAAACTTTGCCGGAAGCTACCCAGTACCTAGTACCCTCCAGGAGTAGCAAACAGGGAAGATTCCGGACGGAGACGACCGGGCCTATAAAATACCTAGTAACGATTGAGGTTGATCCGTTCACCCAGACATAAGTTATGGATGACGACAATGACAAATTCCGAAAAGAGGATTACCTCGGTTTCATCCGTTGCGGCTGTGGATGTGGATACCGAAGGCTGTTTGTTGTTCTTGTGTTGTTGGGTTGTCCCTAGGTCATGAAAAGAAGTAGTTCCAGTATACGTGGATTAAATGATGAGTATGAATGGGTAGGTAGTATTACGTCTACAGGGAAAGGAAGCTACTACCCCCCCGTCCCCCACATGTGATTTCTCACCAAGGCAGCTTAGCTGGTCTATGAGTATATAAGTTCGGCCATCGCGACATCCTCAAGTTGCCCTTTTCGCTTTCCGACTATATCATTCTCTTATACTAAGAACAAATACAGACATAGTAAGTTCTGACCAACCAGTTCAGTTATATGTGTAACTACCTATTTCTTCTTCATCTATTTCTCTACATAATTCTACCTGTCTTATCCTTTTTTAACCCCCCTCAGCTCTTTACCCCTCTTTCCTTTCCCCACGATTTCCGATTACTACTCCCTCCTCCTCCCTCCTCCCTCCTCCTCCTTTGCTCTCCAAATCCCAACCAATCCTTCAACCCCGGGTTCCAAGCCGCAAAGGCTCAAAGCCCCCCCTCCCCGGCAGAAGAATGGCACTTTCCCTGACCTGCTCACCGTAATGTGACCGTACCACCACCCAACCCCACCCGTCATTCTTTTTATCAAACAAAAGCTCCCCCGCCCAACCCGTCCTCCCTCCCCTCCTCATCCCTCTGACCCCATTTTCTCTTCTCTTTCTACATCTCTCTCTCACTCACGCTACCTTAATACCTTAGAGCAGCATACCTCGCTCCTTCCAAAGAGTCACAGCATTTCAAAGATGGTTAAAGCAGGTGAGTACCTAGCCACCTTCCTCATTCTACCCACCCACATTTCGACCGACCTAGCGTCCGATCCTAGCTTCCAATATAGACGGGAAAACAAACACCCATGCAACATGCACTGACCTTCCCCAAACAGCTGTTCTCGGCGCATCTGGTGGCATTGGCCAGGTCTGTCCCACTATTTCGATGATTGTTCTCTCAACCGAGCCATTTACTCTCGACTGACAGCTATTCCTCTACTATTCGGCTGTGTAGCCCTTGTCTCTCCTGTTGAAGACTTCTCCGCTGGTTGACGAACTCGCCCTGTACGATGTTGTTAACACTCCGGGTGTCGCTGCCGATCTGTCCCACATCTCTTCTGTTGCTGTAGGTACCAGTAAGCCCGGCCCTCGACTGATGGAGTAGTAATGACTGATGGCGTCCGCCTTGTTCGCAGAAAATCACTGGCTATTTGCCGAAGGATGATGGCCTGAAGCATGCCCTGACTGGAGCTGATATCGTTGTCATCCCTGCTGGAATTCCACGTGGGTCCCTCTCCTTTTCAACGCCCCAAGTCGTGAACTCTAATAACAACTCTTTCTGCTAGGCAAGCCTGGAATGACCCGCGATGATCTTTTCAAGATCAACGCTGGTATTGTGCGCGACCTTGTCAAGGGCATTGCCGAGTTTTCCCCCCAGGCGTTCATTCTGATCATCTCTAATCCCGTCAACTCAACGGTTCCCATTGCCGCAGAGGTACTCAAGGCCGCTGGCGTCTTTGACCCCAAGCGCCTCTTCGGTGTGACTACCCTGGATGTTGTACGCGCGGAGACTTTTACCCAAGAATTCACGCGCCAGAAGAACCCATCTGCTACCAAGATCCCAGTTGTGGGTGGCCACTCTGGTGAAACCATTGTCCCTCTGTTCAGCAAGGCTACGCCCGCCTTCCAGATCCCATCAGACAAGTATGATGCCTTGGTCAATCGTGAGTCATTCCCGCCTCAGTCACCATGTGCTCCGAGCATGTGCGCTTATGCTAGCCCAGGTGTTCAATTTGGTGGAGATGAGGTTGTCAAGGCTAAGGATGGCGCTGGATCTGCGACTCTCTCTATGGCTTTTGCTGGTTTCAGGTCAGACTCCTTTTCATCCCTACAATGCTATAGCCCAAGCTCATCCTGTTGTGTCTCAGATTTGCCGAGAGTGTGATAAAGGCTTCCCAGGGCCAGACAGGCATCGTCGAGCCCACATTTGTGTATTTGCCTGGAGTTGCCGGTGGTGACGAGCTTGTCAAGGCTACAGGCGTCGAGTTTTTCTCTACTCTTGTGGCTCTTGGGGTGAGTTTAGATCCCTGATTGCAAGCCAAATAGTGGCCGGTTCTAACGCTGCGAAAACAGGCGAATGGAGCAGAGGAGGCTTTTAATGTCTTGGATGGAATCACCGACCAGGAGAAGAAGCTTCTTGAGGCTTGCAACAAGGGCCTGAAAGGCAACATCGAAAAAGGCATCGACTTCATCAAGAATCCTCCACCAAAGTAAATTCGTCCATCCCCGCGCATCATTTACAAGTTTTCCATCCGCTAGTCGATGTTTTGTTGATACCGTACACTTGTCTCCTCCCTGAGAGGCACCTTTCGGTTGATTCGCTCGTCGTTCACGGACACGGTAATGGATAGAGTATCGCTGATCGTTGTCATTCCTTGAAGATAGGCTCTGAAGGAAGAAGTAGAGGACAAATTCTCACAGCAGTCGTGGAAGCTGTTCAAACTAGTACTATGACTTTGGGGTATGAGAAATGTGCACCATACAATTAAGCATCATGTATATCTGTGCGTCGATTTTCACTTTGGTAGCATGCGGTAGTCGGTTGATCTGTAGGTTAATGGGTGCAATGAGCTGCGGCAGTATTCAGCCTTATAGGACCCATTACGTAGGTGCTTCACGCTTACACTATCGGAAGTGTCGGATGTGTTGGACTGTCCGTTTAAGACTTCGGGTTGACTGTTTTGATCTGAAACGTAGCTCCTGGAAGCTCAGCAGTCTCTGCTTGGACAGTGGTCGAAATGCCCAGGTTGGAGAGCGCACCACGTATGACACCGCACGGGAACCATAGATACTGCCGAATGCCACACAAAATCAGTATACGTTTCCAATGTGAATGGCAGAGAGGGGTTGCATGACTATACCGCTTGAGCCATGGACACCGATTCACTTCGGACAGATGTGCTCATCCTAGCGAACGGCCGGAATGAATTGTCAGTTAAGACATATACGCCCTGAAGACCTATTGTTAGCACTGCCCATCTCGCGGCGATCCTTTGTGTTCGGTGCCTACCCGATGATTGGTTTTCAAATTATCGACTTGTTTCTTGAAGAGAATCGTCCAAATGTCTTTGCAGAGAAACTTGATCACATCCAGATTATCCACAAAACGTGGACGGTCTCGAGCAAATCTGTTCATCGGGTCAAGCCGAATAGACGCGTATTAGCAGACAATCTAGAACCGCAACTCGCCGTGTCCTCCCTGCTCGCCCCTTTACGAAGATATTCCTTCAGCGGTGGTATTCAGGAGGCGTACCGTTCAGCAAGGCCCTGCCCTACTCTGTAACCGAGAGACTCGAGCCGGAAAAAGGTTGTTTCTCTAATTTCTTCATCATCCGGTGTACTCTCATCCGTTGTGAGCTCTCTTGTTAAGCGCTCGGCCATAGGGACGAGCTCAATTAAGAGGAAGTCCAGGCACGAGGCGCCGAGAAGGCGCAAATGCGATTCGGAGGCATGGTTGGCGAGAAGGGCGGGCGGTTCCACTGACATAGTACCCAGTGGTCGGCTTCTTTGGGGGAAGAAAAGGAAGGGGTGAGAAAAAGACAATTCGGAGAAAGAAGTAGGCGAATGGATAATCTCTGAGAGGTGGCTTGAGTATACAGAGCCGAGAGAGATAGGGTGCCTCCCGCCCGCAAAGGTCACGGGTGAGGAGAGTTTCGACTTTCAAAGAAGTGGTCAATAGTAATAGTTTGTTTAGTAACTAAGTAAGCTCAGTCAAGTCAACCAGAGACAAGTTACTCCATGACCTTACCACTTTTTGTGCCCAGGCAAGTACATACAACAGAAAAGGACGGCCCTCGCAACCATTTCGCCAACGTACAACTAATAAGTTGATAAATTGCCCAAATATTAGTCACGCAACGATTTCCCTGTAGTCCCGGACATTGAATGTAATTATATAGTGCTGTAAGGACGTCAATGAATAGTCTAGTTGAAACTTAATAAAATGTAATAAAATATACTGTACAGTACGTACACCTACAATGCCAAGCTTCGATGTGGAGTATATCGCATTGCAGCAGATTGTACAGCGCACCATGTTCAAAATTTATTCATGTATTCATTTCACTTTGCGTTTGTTTCCATTTCGTCTAAGAAAAAATTCCTTCGCTTTCAAAAGAGGTGAGAAATACGTCTGGTCCCAGTCCCACCAATCCCAGGTATAATAATGATAGCCGGTTTCCGAATTCCGAAAGCGCCGTGACACCGTGCATGGATGCTTCAATAATTTGATGATTGAAAGTCGCCTGCCTGACCTGAGTATCCAGGGCTGAGCCGGGCAGATAAGGTAAGGCTCGTTTCCCCTGCGAAACCACTAGTGTACGAGTCATGATATTCTTGGCGAAGTGAACTCCTTCCCATTTCACCCAGCGCGGGCCGTTTGGTCGGTCTGACAGGTAGATCATCTTCGCCATCATCGTCATCATCGCTGCCAGTAAGGTCAATCACTTGGGCTGCAGGACGCTTGTTTATAGACGTTGGAACTGCAGACGAGGTCGCAGAGGGTTCGCGTGACTGGAGTGGAGTCTGCTGCAGGGTCAAATTAACAGCAGAGAAACTCTCTTGTTTGATGGGTGATATCCCAGGTTCCTTGATCTCTATCAACTCATCATCTTCTGTTGCTGATGTAGCTTTGCCAGCTTTCTCAATGTCTTCGAGATTAGGATGAGACCATTTCCCATCTGGCTCAATGATCACCTGTTCAAAGTCCGACGGGGTCAGACGGAGGATATCATCCACATACCTGGTAGACACTCATTTAGTTCTCTTTTCATGTACTCATCGCACGCAAAATGGTTAGTATGTGCACTTACTGGTCTATTTGCAATGACTCGAAGCTAGTCGCTTTGGAACACACAGGACACAACCACTGCGGGGCTTGTTCCTGTAGTTGTAGGAATGATGATGCATCGAAGCACTGGTTATGCGTGCAGATTATAGAGCGGCAGGGAACCGCAATCCTAGTATGCGACAAAGGGCACTTGAGTGACATAACACTTGAAGTGGCGACAATTTCAGTGTCCTCTGCCTTGCTCCTCACTAAAATTGCTTAGCTTAGATCTCTTGGGTAAATTTCTAAGTGCACAAGAATGCATACTTTCTCGCAGGACTTGCTCTTTTGAGATGGTTTTTCTTCTCTTGAGCTCGGTAACAAGTTCATCAACTGGGTGTCTCTGAACAAGGTTGACCAAAACAAAGAATCTCTACCAACAAATCAGCAAATTAAGGTGATTGGGTCTAAACCACGGACAAACATCGATACATAAGTGTATAACTCCGGACTGAATGCTTACTTTCTGGGTGAGGGCAAATGTTAAGACAACAGTGTTTTGATACCCTGCTTTCTTGCGAACATAATTGGTAATGTCCGCCGGTCTTGTCGTACCAGGCTTGTTCTTTAGACCTCGCAGGTTCGCTTTGACTTCATCGAGATTTGTCTTGAGTTCAACTTGATGAGGAAATGCTATATCCGACTTGGTATATTGATTGAGACCCGTGTCTGCCGCACAAAACACCATCACCCGAAGGTTCGGGTCAGCCTGCAATTTGGATGCCATGCTAGGCGTAAAAGCAACTTTCAGCTCCACGCTGTCCCGAGTGTGCTCGCGTACTTGATGATATCTAAGGTCATTGACAGCCCTTGTAATGAATGACGAAACTTACCTTTGCATTCCGCCGTCGGAGTCAGTTGGTCCAGAACCGTATAAAAAGGACTGTCTTTGAAGATCAAGCGGCCTATTCAGTAATGGCGGGTTATTCAAGCTCTTGAAAGTCTAAAGGGTCGAAGCATCAAGCTTCAAATACCTGGGGTGATAGCATGCGATGGCACTGCCATGCTCAAAGGTGATGGTCTATGCTGCGTGGGCAGAGACTGACTAACTGAAGGCTGCTGATATTGCTGGTTGGACGATGGCTGCTGTATTGTAGGCGACGGTATCGATCGATGTGCTGTATGATATATGAACTTCCTCATGCTATCATACTTCTCGATATGACCTCCTTCTCTGAGTCTCTCAATATCTGGTATTTCTCAAGAAGGGTTAACAAAATTCGATCGATGGCGTTGATTCCATAAAAAGCTTCAAATCAAGCAATGATTACAGGCACGGGGATACCACGAACAATCTAGGATCCGGATCTGTAACGACGCCTTGACTCCAGAAACCGCAAGTCCCTCATTTCTCAAGATGTCCTTCAACTGCGCATTGGTCAGGGTTTTCACTAATGCAACCGTGCTCTGAACGTCGTAGAATGGACCAGTAGATGCCATGTTGAGTCTCAGCTAAGCTTCTTCAAAAAATTATGGTAAATGCATTCAACTGCCGTCTCAGGAAGAGGTATAATTGGATATGATTGCGGGATCCTTAGCAACACTGTTCAAAGACATCGCAATACTTGGCTCGAGTAAGACCATATATTGCTAGAAGAAGGCTTCGGTGATCAGCAGAGTAAGCATTGGGAATACTGTAGGCGATATGCGTCGATCTTGAGCACTCATTTGTATCTTAAGAACTTGTAATGGCGATTGCGGAGTTGTGTAAGAGCCTCCGAGTAATGTGATGACATAAGATCGGCCGCCGCTCTGGTTTTAACCCTTTTGAGTAAGGATATGGGAGGGAATGAAAGAAAAAAAGTTTCATCCGAGGCGATAAGATAGAGAAGACTTTAACAAACCAAACCTACGAAAATTTCGCAACATCCCGTTTCTGCCAATTCATACTTCTAGGCGATTATACTTTGCCTCTCTTGAATTTACCTCTTTCTCTTGTATATCAAATATTACTCCCTTGCCAGCATGGCCAAGAGCGGTCGAGCCAGTGTCATTAAGCGCAACAGAGCCAATCTGCGAGCTACTGTCTTCGGGCCTGCTGTTGATGCAAGAACCGAGAGACTCTCAGCAAAGCTGCAGGAACTCGCTGCTCAGCCGAAACCAACTGAAGGCAACTCCAAAATGGAAATGGATTCAACAAGATCTGGTATGTCCCCTTACGACAATGATACTCGACCGAACCATATTCGCGGCATTGATTGACAGAACTACAGACGGCCAGGCTAGTGATCCAAAGGCGAGAGTAGCAGATTTTAATGAAGGTATAGTTCTCTTGTTTGGCGCTTCCGTGACTCTATTTTTCTTGTTCAATCTGACAAGCTTATCACGGATGCAGATATGGACATCGACCAGAAACCACGTGATACTCACGGTCGTTCGAAAAAGTCAGGACGCATCCAGAAGAATAAGAAAAACCGCTCATCTATTGTTTTTCGTCCCCATCCTTCGAAGGCCAAGAGAATGTCTAGGAAGAAATAAAGGACCTTGCATTGCGCATTACTACAATCCTCTATATCCTGGAGTTCTGGAGTTCACATGTATCTGGCTTTATCCCACAAGTCATCTTGTCAATTACCTTTGCAGACATGTCATGGTTGAAGGACGGCTGCAATCAAGCACAATAGATTGATGCAAACACAGCAGCACATAGTACATATTTTGCCTAAACCTATCTCCTAGCGAATATGCATGGTGTAAATTGTGAGCCTTCGATTTCGCATAGAGTCATGTAGTATTTTCTTCCAGCGCCATTTGAAGTCTCATCAGCAAGGAATTTGTGGAACCCACTTCACCATGGTCTGCAAAGAGCATTTCATGTCTAGGTGGATCCCGAAGGCGGTCAGCCGGGCTCAGTACTATACATACGCATCAGCTACTGAAGCAACCAACCCCCCCCCCCCACACCCCCCCCCCCCCCCCCCCCTTCTCTTCCGCGAGGAATGACATGGAGGCTACTTGGTCACAAACATCGCGGTACCTTTCTCTTCAGTAAATCCAAATCGAGACGCGACAGGTCTTGTGCCTGGTTCAACTATTGCCCGGTCTGGGTGCGTCTGGAATTGCAACTGGAGTGAGGATGGCTGCTGTGTCAGGACTTTCGGCGATACTGATCGCCAATGTACTGATACCCCTAGCTATCGCAATCTTCTCTTCCGGATTTTTCCCTTACAAGCCACTGCTTTCAGGGCTCGCAGAATGCGACAATCTGGAGCAAAATGTTAAGCCCCCCTTTGACAAGGTTATCTTCATGGTGGTCGATGCTTTGCGAAGGTATGGTTGTTCAGATCATCCCTAGATGCTAAGCTAAGCCACGATGTAGTGATTTTGTGTATTCGAATGCATCGGGATTTGCGTTCACACAGAGGTCAGCAGTTGTGTCTCATTTGCCTTCCTTGTTGGGTTACTGTCTAAAATACAGATGAACAGTCTCATTCGGTCAGGAGCTGCGCTTCCATTTACCGCCCACGCCAGTTCTCCCACCGTCACCATGCCCCGTCTCAAAGCTATGACTACAGGGTCTACTCCGTCATTTCTAGACGTTATATTCAATATCGCGGAGTCAGATACGTCAACAACACTAGCATTTCAAGATACTTGGCTTGCCCAACTGAGGGCAAGAGGTGACCGTCTCGTGATGTATGGTGATGACACCTGGCTCAAGCTATTTCCTGGCATGTTTGACCGTGCAGATGGCACTACTAGTTTCTATGTCTCAGTAAGTAGACAATCGACTATCTTTCTGGCGTGTTTTCGATACCAAGTTAAAACCCCGCTACAGGATTTTACTGAGGTTGACCATAATGTCACTCGGCATGTACCCAATGAGCTGCTTCAAGACGACTGGTCTGCCTTCATCATGCATTTCCTGGGCCTCGACCATATTGGGCATAAATTGGGCCCTCGGAGGTAATTCGTATCGTCTCTGCTTGCTTGGTTGATGTTTAATCTCTGTTTAGTTCACATATGTTTAAAAAGCAGCGTGAAATGGACTCGGTGATAGGCGAATTATATGCTAGCATCGAGCGGGGAGGACACCTTCAATCAACCCTCTTGGTATTGTGTGGTGATCACGGAATGAACGATGCCGGGAATCATGGTGGCTCATCTTCTGGTGAGACGTCACCGGCACTTCTATTCATATCGCCATTGTTCAAGACTATGGGAGGGCCCCGCCATCAAGCTCCGATAGACATTCCCGATGACTTTCAATGCTACAAAACCGTCGACCAAACAGATATCGTTCCGACCTTGGCAGGGCTTCTTGGTTTCCCCATCCCGTTGAACAATCTGGGCGTGTTTATTCCGGATCTTCTGGATGTGTGGCATTTATGTGAGTAGGAGGTTAACTGCACTCTTCGTATGTGTATCAACAGCTTACAGAGAACTTCTGTCCAGATTCTCAAAGGACCAAAGTTTTGCTCGCGAACGCCAAGCAACTGCTAAGGAGGCTAGAACATTCTTTCCCAGATCACAAGATCACGGTCGATCAACTCCCGGGCAGATGTACTACTGAGCCGCTAACCAGCATGCACGAAGCCCAATGCGCTTGGCTTCAAGTGATAACTCTTATTAACAACCCCTTCAGTACTGAGGACCAAGACGAGCTTGAGCCTGCTCTCAGCCGATTTCTATCATTAGCTCAAGAAGTATTAACCAATGCTGCTAGTGATTACAACCTCAGACAACTCCTCCTAGGTATTGGTGCTATGGCTCTCGCCGTCTTGCTGCTTCTTCCGAATGCTTATAAGCAGCTATCTATATCGATGCATTCTGGGGCATTCTTGGCTGGTCTCATTGTGTGTTATGGTGGTATGATGTTTGCAAGCAGCTATGTCGAGGAAGAACATCAATTCTGGAATTGGATCTTTTCAGCCTGGACATTCCTTCTACATGTGAAAGCTGCTTCGCGGAGGTCTTGCGCCTCTTCCGAGCAACTTCCCATCAGCAATGGTCCATTCTCAAGCTCGATAGTTGCCCATTATGCCACGTTGGGACTGTTCGCAACTCACCGTATTCTTAGACGCTGGAACCAAACAGGTCAGAAATTCGCGGCCGAGCCAGACATTGCACACAATTTCTTCCCCACCAATTTATACATTCTCTGGCCATTAGTGATTGTCACATATGCGGATATATGTGTGCACCTCTCCAACAGTTATCACTCATCCAAGCTGTGGCGCCTACTTTGCATTGCTGTGACAGCAACAGCTTTTCTTTTCAAGCTCGGATCTGTGGTCTTGGATTTCCCTGAGCTACTTGGGACCACTCACATAGGAACCTTAAAACAGGCCTTCAACAGAGTCCCGCTTATTCTCCTTTCACGAATCGTCTTCGTAGGATTGCTCCTCCTTATCCTGGTCACATTATACAACAGGAAAAAAACTTGGAAAAAGGAACCATTTATGTCAGGTAAACCTGTAGCCATTGCCCTACTTACCTCGATAATTTACTAACGCAAGCAAGGAATGCACACGAGCGTTATGCACGAAGCCCTCACTCTCTTATTGATCACACAGTCTCGGACCACGAATATTCCACTGTTCTTTATTTACAGGTTGCAAGCAGTCACACTTGCTTCAATGAACCTCTCTGGCATTGAATTAACGATCACATCCCTCCTCATGCAATACACGACTTTCTTCGCCTCCGGTGGTTCGAATGCCATATCTTCCGTCGACCTTTCAAATGCCTACAATGGTATTGATCATTACAGTGTTTTCTTAGTAGGTCTGCTGACTTTTGTTGGCAACTGGGCTGGGCCAATATGGTGGGCCTCGGCTGCTCGACACCTGCGGTATAGACAGACGTGGAAGGAGAAAGAGGCCCATATGACTACTCTCACGTTCCATATAGCAACATCATCGCTGTGTGTCATGATTGCTTGTACGACATTGAGGGCGCATCTTTTCATTTGGACAGTCTTCTCCCCTAAATATCTTTATATGATGGCATGGGCTGTCATGGGCCATCTCGGTGTCAATTTACTTGGGGAGTTTTCATAATCTGCATGAAATAGGCGCGGGTTGCGGAGAATGCCCCACCGGGTGTCTCGCTGACGGAGACAGATCGAAGACTTTTTCTGTTGATGATTCTGGAAGGCACTTAGAAAGTGTGCAGATCCAGCTCACCTACAGCAAAGAGTCGAACAAATCGTCGATGGCATCCTTTCTCCTATTCTTCTTTCTCTTCTTCTGGATCCGCTCCTCGATCTTCGTCTCTTCGTGGCGTCCTAAACGCCTTGGTAGGCTACCTGTACTTTTCTGGTACGCCAAGTGACCCAGATCATCCAGGTCACAATGGTCTGGCGGTAATGGGGTGACTGGATCGGGTCTGCCCCGTGAAACGACTATCCCTACATCTTCCTCTTTGGTGGTTTCGCTGCTGCTGTCGAGGGCAGAGGTACCCACCGTCGTAGCAGGGATCTTGAGCTCCTTCCGGAACCCAATTGCCTTTGCAAGACGGGCCAGCGTGGCTAAAAGTACTGTCCCAAGTGTGGAGAACTGCCCGTCGGCCACGACCGTTGAGAAGACACTTTATAAGGGGATCAGCGCATATTTCCATACGTGTAGACCCTTTAGTCATTCTAGACTTCGACTCACAGGTAACATTTGGGAATAATAGCGTGCGCCAGGGGTTTTGTGTACTTTGGGGCTGAAGATTGACCTGCGATGTATGATGGTCGATGCCCAATAGACATGACGAGTTTCCGGGTTGTTCGCTTCAGGATCGCCAGCCACTTCCACCACTTAGTATTGCCATGCTGGTTCTTGTTGCGGTGATATATGAGGTGAAGAATCGAATGTATAGCAAACAACTTCTCCAGGTCCATCTCCTGCGGCTCGCTGCGCGGTTTGGGGGGGTATACGCACGTCAATGTGATAGGCAGCGAGGCCTGGCTGAAAACAAGTGGAATGCTCAAATTCAAAAGGATAAAGCACTTCTCAAGAGACTTGAGACTACACAGAACTCTTCCACGTGGATGATTCGGTGTGCAGCACGAGCCGGCGCAATGGGTGTTTTCTCCTGGGTTGAAGTAACTTTGCGATAAAGGCGGAACCCGCTGTTTGGTACGGAACTGCCACATCTGACACCGCCTTGACTCAAGTACCGCTTAACGGGTGAGAATGGTCAGCGCGTGTTGCTGCCTATATATTATAGTAACAGGGGCTTCTATCAAGTTACAAGGTGCGCAAAGCGCAAGCCAAAGGGTTTCAATAGCTCTCAATAACAGTCAGGTAGATACGACTTTCGAAGCTAGGCCATATAAGATGTGCATAGCTGGTGTTCGAAAATCAGCTACTTATACCGGCAGGATCAACTCAAGTAAGTAAGCGGACAAATGTAACCGGCAAGCCAAAGAGTAAGATGCAAGCGGGTGGGACCACCTGCATTCTTGTCGGAGCATCTTACCCGTTTGTTCGATTAAAAGGATTGTCGGACATCGATCCAGCGGATGGTTCACTCTTCATAGAATTCCG